TAGTCGGTGCCTCTTTGTCGTACACCCCTCGACAAAAATGACAGGACAAACTGGTGACCACATTTCCGAAGGTCGAATACGGACTCACAAACACATGAACATATAATATATATTTTATACAGCATTTAGAAACACGAAAACACGACATCCCGCTTTATTAGTGTCAATGTAATAATATCGGTTTTTTTTACACTAAGAAGTCGGTATATATGATAACCTTGGTTTCAGATATTTTCTCTTCATCGGGGAAAAAAATAAAAATTAGAAGAAAAAGAGTATAACCTATAGCCTATAATAGTTATATATTTAGGTTTCATCATTTATATGAAGTGTGTATATGTGTAGAAAAATGTTTTCAAGTATCGATTATTTTAGTTTTATAACTTATAAGGTTGTACAATTTTAGTATTAAAAGGTGCGGGAGGGGAGGAAGCTCCAGGTCCCTGTGATGCGTTTACAATAAAAGCACGCCAAGCACGTTTTAGAAGTCTAGTTGCACTATATTAAGTTCTATCAAATACACGAATCGAATTCTAAATCTCCGAGATCGACCCATCGCATTCCACATTTTGGCCACCATTGAGTCCTTGATTCTTGGATATAGTGTATATTTTGTACCTAATAATATTTGCCTTTCGAAATTCTGTGGGTATTGTGTTTTTGTCGTTGGCGTCACGTATTGGCGTCGAAATGTCGCGACCTGCACGCCGCACGGTTACAAGGAGAGCATCCGCAGAGCAGTATATAGGTAGGGACATATCATAAATATAAGCAATAATATATATATATATTTTTATGTATATACACTAAACACTACATGTATACCTTTTTCGATTGTCAATTGATAATAGTGGAAGACGCAGATTAAGGATATGCCATGTTTTTGTACGGACATGTTCGGCAGGCAACCTATATATTATTGTATACGACAGGGACGGGCAACTGGTGGCCCGCGGGCCGCATCCGGCCGTCGAACCTTCTTTTATCTGGAACGTGCTACATTTTCAAATTACATTATAAATAAAGTAAATGTTAATCAAAAAATATATTTTGAATGACTTCCCTTTTTTTGCTTTCTATGCTCTGGCCCGCTAGATTCTGCCACGGCGGCTGTGGCCAATGGCTACAAGAAATTTATTATTATAGAGTGATTAGATGTTTGTATTGACTTTTGTTTAAAACGTAACTTATTTTAAACTATTATTATTGTAGTGCTTGGATAGTAAGCTGTAGGTAAGAATAAGGAATAAATTAATCAAATTTAATATTTTAGTAAATACTAAATAAAAATAGTGATGATGATTACATGTTATACGTAGTAAGACCCATCTTCAGTATTATAATATATGTAACACATCTGTAAGACGGAGACAACCCATCTTAAGATCTTCTGTTAAAATATTTTTTCTTTGAACTAGTCGGCATGGGTTGGTACACTGGAACGAATGTCCATAATATTCAACTATATTATCCGTTCGAACAGCCAGACCAAAAAAGTAAAAGACTACAGCACTATAATAATAGTAATAATAGTAATTCCATGATATCCCTTATAATCCCCATACCCAACGATAAACGTGACCATGTGTCCATGTACGATAATGATGAGCATATTCTCCTCGGTGAATTGTATTACTCGTACAATATGGTCTACGTTCGATTTATAATATAGACCCTACGAACACATGATCGCTCGTGTATAGATAGATAATATATCATGTTTTTGACAGTTTTACTGCGAATGTATGTACTGACCCATATGCATGTACAGTGCACCCCGGGAGGTATACATATGTTAACACAATGAAAACCTTGTAAAGCCAAAAAAAAAGACACGAACGAAACCTTATAATAGTTGAACTACGTATTTTATGCATAGTAATAAATAATTTTAATTCGAATAAAATAGGAAACAGAGATTCAAGGAACTATATATCTACGGTCCACACAGGGACGGGTCAAGTTGCCCCCCCCCCTCCCGTTAAAGACATATTATTTTCCACATTTTTTTAATAATTCAACAGATTCTGCAGGTATTACTATATTTCAAATTACATGTATGTCTGATTATATAATATATTATTATAGGTATCAGTACCATATACGTATACCATTATACTATCTTAGTTCATGGTGGGCAGTGATTCCAATATTGTAATTTTAAATTAACAGAAAATTGTGCCCCCTCCTACGGATCTTTGCTCTAGATCTGTGCCTGGGTTCGCAGGAGGGGCAGTTGCCTACTCTGCCCCCCCTCCCCACAGTATCGCCCATGATTATAGTATTGTATTATAATAATGGTCGTTTTTCCGCGAAATCCCATATATACTCCCCATGCCTTATAATAAACTTGACAACGTACAATATGATGAGCATTCCTGTCAGTGAATGTTATTAAAAGACGCTCGATTTATAATATAGACCCGACGAATACATGATCGCTCGCATATGTCTTTTTGACAGTTTAACTGCGAAAATATATACTGATCTATACGCATATAAAGTGTAGTGCAGTGAAGGTGTACATATGATTTATCATTGAATTCAAACTTAAGGTTCGGGCACATAGAACGCGATCTGTCGCGGCGGGCAGCGGTCCGGTTGTATTTAAATACAGAATTCGACCTTGACCGTCGCGATAATTATACATATACGATATCAAGGCCCGCCGCGACAGACCGCGTTCTGTGTGCTCGGGCCTTAAATGTATTCATTACAATGACATACTTGATAAACATTGTACAGCCGTGCGGCAGAAAGGTATCCCGAATGGCAACTTGTTAACCCTTGAGGGCACCCCTACATACAGTATGCTGTTTTTAATTTTTGCTTATTGTTGTAAAATGAATTTAATCATTCATAAATAATATTTTTGAAAAATATTAAAACCTAACCTGTTTCCACCAATACTTGTTTCTACCAACTGAGATAATGGCAATCATGTTTCCATCAAAACAATATGTATACTGAGCTTGTATTAAAATCTGTAATACAGATAATAAGTATATTTACAATACTATATATAT